CGCAGTTCGATGTGTATTATGATATAAAATCACAAATATTTCCTAAACAGTTAATTTTACCGAGTAACCAAGAGAGTATTATCGTTGGCAAATTCTTCAGATAACTTATTTTTGATACAAGTAGATTGCGATTGTCATCTATGCAAAAATTCTAGGTTGTTAACCATTGGAGATAGTCCGTCCCTGGCGTTCTGCGCATAATGAAATTTCACTTACAGCATCAAAAACAAGCTGTACGCATGTGTTATCGATCACCAAATTTGCATCATGCTTGAAGTTAATCGTTTAGAGACTGTAAATAAAAATAACATTAATTTTCACCTTTGAGGGTCCATAACTTGTTAACGAAGGCCTGTATGAAAAATTTTTTAATGAAGAACTGATATTATTTTGACCTCATCTATTTGTACTCGACTCTTTTGTATCAAGTACCGGGACACCCTGTATATGAGATTAATATGTTACTTTGTTACATTTTTTGAAGTTTATGTGCATTTATAGTGTTTAAATTATTTTTAAAGGAACGACACGAAACCTAAAATTAATTTTCACCAAAAATTAATACAAAGTTACCGTTGAAATCATAACAAAAATCGATAATTTTAGAGTTAAAAAGACACTAATTTGAAAAACAAAATCTTTATTCTGATTACATATTTTTAGAAGACATTTTGGAAACATAAAATGTTTGGAAATAATTAAGAAATAATTATTATTATAACTCACCAACTGCAAATAAAACAAAATATTTTTGGTTATAAAATTTATATACAAAAAATAATAAAAAACATTGGTAAATATGAATATATAAAAATATTCATATATTAGTTTAACAAATAGTGTTTAGTAGTATCAATAAGTTGTGACATAAGCCTACTTTGAGAAAAGTCACTTATTTTATACACTGTAATATTGTAAGAGTTTAATTAAAAACTTTTTTTCTCGAAAACCATCCACATTAGGAAGTTCTAACAAGAGTACATTATTTTCAGAAAATAAAATTTGTACATTAGAAATTGGAGCCCGAATGGTAAAAATCCTAACTTTAAAAAAATTAGAACTTAAAGTGTGATAGCAATGTAGCATAACTATGAAATATCAGAAAAATAATTAGACCAGCGTATTTGGCATCCTTAAAAACCCCGGAATACAAAATATCTTAAACATTTTTCGCACCGTTTGGAAATTTTCGTAAAAATGTTATTTTGTCGCTCCATATCTCGAAAACAAGAGGAGATAGACATATAGCTTATAAGACAAAAAATTCTTATTTTTTTCGTACTATCACCCTCTGTATTTACGGGATTCTTTCTGAAACAGCCTGTATAATAGTTATAGAAATAAGATTTAATTTAAAGATTTAAAAAAATATATTTATTTAAATATTTTTTTGTTAAAATACTGTCCCCTATGAAAATAGATTGACTACTTACTTATTTTACGAAAGTACGTCTTCAATGATTAAAATATAAAGATTTATTATTTTTTTATAAAATTACTAGGAAGTTATTAATTAATTTGCCTATATGATATGTAAATTTACCAATAGTAATGTAATTCAAATTTAGTGCTTGAATTTTTAGCAAGATTATTTAAAACCTGCTTTTCGTATTAAAAATGGCTGCAGTATTTTAAATTTAAATGTGTCAAGTTGTTTATTAATAAACGTATTAATAATACAGTTTTCCAATGAGTAAAAGAGAATAGTTAATATTACGTATATTTTATGGTAAGTTAATTATACCTACTCATAAAAATTTGTGTATATGTAATTAATTAATGTTTACATATTTTTATAAACAAATTTCTTGTGATATTCAATCCACTTTTTACAATGTGAACCAGCTAACGAAGCTGTCTCAAACAATGCCATTGTCGCTAATGATATATCTACTACAGAGCTTTCATAAATGATTACAAGCTACTTGACTACCGAGCGTAGTCAACCCGATATTGCAGACTGGTACTGTCAATTAAGAATTCCGGGGTCTTAGCGTCATCAATATTATTGATTCGTTTATAATGAACAATGACAAACCGTTGCGTCTATGCTGATTCGTTGATTTGAATGAACATCTCGTGGAAAATTACGCCAATCATCAGCCGGTGAAGCAGACTGTTGTTTTAATATAATCTCGATCTTACTGTTTAATGAGTTTTAATTTTACCGAAATTTAATTGCCAACGTGAAGGAATAAAATTACTGTTCCAAACAAAATTACTGGTCATATGGCTTGTAATCATTTATGTAAACTCTGTACTACTACGTACTAGAATTTTTATTGTTGAAAATCAATAATGCATGAAATTTAATTAAAATCGTATGTGTAAAAAACTTTTGTCACCTTTGACACGATCGTAGATAATATACAAAAGTAATCATTCGTGCATTACTTCAGTACAATTCCAGAGGCCAGAATTATAGTGCATTGTAATAACATTTTTTTACAATCGAGTGACAATTGAACCGATCTATAATTTAGTTCAACAACTGTTATTTAACCTATGAGCAATTATTACGAGTTACAAAAAAATAACAATAGTTCGGCCATCTGCGATTTCCACTCGGACTGCCAGTCAAATGACGGTCCGGATGAACAGGGGAATAGAAACGGGGCCATCGCGACGTCAAGCACACATGCCGATATTCTGAATATGCTATCAACCTATCTCCACACTTCCTAAAGTGACAAACAGAATTGAAATTGGATATTTTTGTATGAACTGCACAAATGCGTCGCAGTCCAAAGTGTCATGCTTAAATAAAATACTTTCTTATTTGTCGTTGACAACCTACTGCGACTCTCGTCCGATGTGAAATGGTGGGATTGCTCCTCTCATATTTTATGTTGAGAGAAAATTAAAATATGTTGTTTTTATTAATATGATATTTGATGTATGTAGGTTTTCTACGGGATAACTGGGGAAAACGAAATGCTGGAATTGTTGATCTATTTTGAGGAAAATGTTTGATTGTATGATTTTAGAAAAGATCCTAAAGTATCAAATTAACGAATATTTTGAATCAAACAACTTATTTCACTCCTGTCAATTTGGCTTTCGTAATAAAAGGTCCCCCTCACTAGCAATAAACAACTTAATGCACTCAGTTCTGAATGGCTTTGAGAATAGAAACATTACTAATGGTACTTTATATGACCTTACTAAGGCTTTTGACTGTATGAGCCACAACATTTTATTCAAAAACTTTCGCGCTATAACTTTGATACAAATAGTATCTCCCTTATTAAATCATACCTGAGTGACAGATCTCAATTCGTCTCTTTTAATGGAAGTAAATCTTCATGCTTAACCATGAATCACGGAGTCCCACAAGGATCTGTCCTTGGGCCTGTACTGTTTCTCATTCATATAAACGATCTACCAAATAGTGATAGCATTTCCAAGTTTATCCTCTTTGTGGATGATACTACGATCCTAAATAGTGCAGGTCAGGCCAGCGTCCTTCGTAATAATGTTAAAACAACACAGGATAACGTTAAGCAGTGGTTTTTGGCAAATAAGATGCATCTCAAACAAGACAAAACTCAGTCTATTTTATTTACTTTGCTACGTCCACCTACTCTTGGGTATAGTAGCATACTAAAAAAAAAACGGCGAGACTGCCAGATACAATAGCCTTAATGGCAAAATGTGCAAAGGTTGCAGAGAGTCCAGTAGCTCAGAGATGGGCGTGGAGGTGCAGTCTCTATCTCTGCGGTTGCACCAAGGCTATGTTATAAAACTACAAGAAATTATAGCAAAAAAAAAGAAGGTATAATAATCAAACTACTTTAATGATAAGTAATTATCAAATAACAATTGTTATAACAAAATATGAAATAGCCAAGAATAGCAGATTGGTCAAACATATGGCTGCAATAGGTCAAAATACTCCCGAGAGGGGTGGTCATAAACAGATACGCGGGGTCCTAGAGACTTCTAGGGTAAATATGCAAAATGAAGTCCCTTTTAGTATATATACTGGCAGGTTTACAGTCGTAACTAAGTGAACAAAGAAGGCTTTAAGGGAAAATAATAGTTCAATAATTTAACTAATTAATGAGTAGAGAAATGAATAAGACCTTGTGTCCGGTGTTTTTAGGTTACAAGCGGGCGAAGCCTCGCCGCCTGGGTCGGATGTCCTGGTACCTTCGCCCTGGTCTGTCGCCTGCACGTTCGCCTCCGCGCCTGGGGCTCGTATTGTACTGCAGTACTATTGGGGCTCTCTCTCTCCACAGTATATTTTGCAATTACCAGCAATTAAGGGCAGCCACACGGGGAATAAAAAAAAAGGCCTAGAAATGAACGTAGTTGAGGGAAATAAACGTTAATGCAGGTGATTGAATCCACCTCACAAAAGTTATATAAATGGCTTGACAGAATTAATGGAAAAGAATGTATTTAGATACCTTGGATATTGGGCGGCCTTTCTTGCAATTTTTATGTGTTGCACAGTACAATTGCAAATCCAGATTAACACTGCTATCTATCAGCGATAGATACGCTAATCAGTAAAATGCAACACACTTTTAATTAACTTTAATTTACATAAATCCACAAGCTGCGTGAATGACTGCTATCTTTCAAGACAGAATTCGTAGTAAATCGTCAATTTTATTTCGGTGCGAAAAACTGAACCTCTTTTTGCCTATACTCGACGGCGATAAAAGTGTATTTTAAAGGTTTCTATTAAGATTATAATATATTGCCGAAATGTACTGAATTTAAAGGTACTTAATTATTTATTTTAAGAAAATCTTAAGCCATTTATCTATTTTTTTTTTCGTATTTAATTTCAACCTCAAACCGTTCATTTCTGGTTCGTGCAAAAATGTTTTAAATATTGCCATCACTACATTACATTCGTCTCTATACCGGGCGACAAAATTGACCCGTAACAACCCCCCCCTTTCCCGGAAAGATAGTTTCCTTCTCTTCTATCTAGAGAAGAATGCTTTCATATATTGTGACCAAATCCAGCGAAATAGCTACAGCAGCTATAAGATCTCAAAAGATATAAGAGATACCTGATCATCTGGAGGATGTGTTTTGATGTTTTTGGCGTGCCAAACACCACGACTCCGACCGATCTCGTCAGCCAACTCATATGACCAAGGGGACAAGACTTTTACGATGGTATAGGGACCATCGTATTTAGGATTCAGCTTCGAGGTAACTCCCTTGCTGGCATCAGAAAGGGTATAATTCTTTTTCCAGACACGCTGATGCAATTGAAACCTTTCGTCCCTATGACGCAGGTTATAATACTTCCGACTCCTTTCGAAAGCCTGTTTCAATCTTCTGGATACATCCTGGAAAACTTCTTTCAGGGNGACCCGTAACAACTTTGCGTTATGTGCATGATGAGTTCACCAATTGCGCCTCGCAAGTGAAATTTCTCGGAGTGAACACTGATTGCCAAATGTCTTGGAAGCAACATATTGACGAGTTATCTAAAAAACTATCTAAAAAGATGTTCCTGATCAGAAGTCTTGTTAATTCTGTTTCGATAAAAATATTGCTGTTAGCCTTTTATGTTTTTTTTCACTCACATCTGTGCTATGCTATTTTGAACTGGGGTCATTTTTGCCAAGGTGATCAAATTTTTAAATTACAACGCAAATGTACTCGCATTATTGCTGGACTGCCCTATAGAGCGGACTTTAAGCAACAATTTAAGAAATATGGCATACTTACACTACCAAGTGTCTATATCTTAGAATGTCCTTTGTACATTAAGGAAAATATCAATATGTTTCGTCAACATTGTACAAATCATGATTATCCTACTAGAAACAGGTACAATATAAACCCTGTTCCTCTTAGGCTAAGTAGAACTAGAGTCGGTTCTAATTACTATTGTGTTCGCTTTTTTAATATGCTACCTGAAGCAATTAGGTTCTTATGTAATGCTCACTATAAAATGAGAATAAGGAACTTTCTTAAGGAGGTTTATCGGGTACGGAGGTACTTGTAAAGTCCAACGAAAGTTTCTGTAGATTCGTTAGTGACTAAAGTAGTAAGCCTTTAGATTTGGCAACGTTGCACTTGGCTGGCGCGCTCGGCTCGCTCCCGTTCGATCGTTCTGTTTGTTTGGACACCTGAGAATTTCAAATAATACGCTACGTCGAGACCGCGGCGTTGCCGCTATCATGCATATGGAGGATAAGTTTGTCAACGACAGCAGTTTGAAGGAGAATTATTATAAATTATGTATCTTACAAGTACCTAATCGATTTCTACAGACTGCCATACGGTTCCTTAGATATCGGTTTCCTATTTATACAAGTTGCTGTGGAAACTGTTCGTCAATTGTTGCGCATTCTAAGTGGAAAGACCAAAAAATCCGCATTCTCATAAGACTCTGTACTAAATCGTGAAAAATTATTTTATTATCTCGTCTCTTAGATATCCAAACTAGTCATAATTTTTTTTGAGGATTTTCTTCATATTAATAAGCTTATATCAATTTTTTTATGAATATTTGTTTGTCAATTCCAAATCAAATAAACCTCCTTAAAGCTATTTACTCATTTGATGATTATTTTAATGATGATTTTGTTGCTATTGTTAGTCCCCTAGGAATACCATGTAATGTATGTGATGTGTGATATATTTCTTTATGTATTTTGTAATAGTGCCTCTTTTTGTATCTATAGTATTTATTTGTAGTATTTTTTAATGATTTATTCACATATCTGTGTTTTAGTTTTGACCTATTTTTGATTATTTATTATTATCATTATCATTATCATTATCATTATCATTATCATTATCATTATCATTATCATTATCATTATCATTATCATTATCATTAT